CCTAGCTGCTTAGATTAAACTCAGTGAATTTAGATCACAACCGTACATTCAGTGTACTTCATCTGTAGCCGGAGCCATCGGTCCTGAATGGTGGGGACTAAATGAGACAAAGAAGTTACTGGTCCTAAAATAAGCTAATCAAAATGTCATCTCTATCTGTATTATTATTTTAAATACTTCTTTAAAGTCATTCAGTTTTATTTTTAAAACATCTCTGTGTCTATGATCTTCAACTGAAACACTGTGCTTTACTTTTTATCACAGATAACAGCTTTTAGCTGACTCATTGAATGAGAGAGACTCTGAGACTCTATTGGATGGTACTGCTCTCTCGTATACTTCTAACATCAAACTTTTATCTATCATCTTTTAACTCTATCCCAGCTTAAGGCATCTTTGCCAGAAATTACATACGGTTTCAAATAAACATGGTTTTATAGTTGTCTTTTGCCCACCTCAGGGAATTTAGACATTACAAATTTCCACTCAGATTGAGTCTCTGTCGCACTGGCAGTTTCAGGCACAGCACACATCAGGTTTTAGATAAGCGAACTGTTTCATTACAGCCAATAACAAACTTATCTTTTGAAAGCAAAACATCAGATTCTAGTTCTTTCATGGTCAACTTTTCAAGCTGTTTGTTTAATCAGATGCCTTTCAACACATTTACATTTAGCAACTGTTAATTCAGTAGCCTACTGCTTCTGCTTATTTGTTCTTACATAATGGTAATTATTCTAGTTCTCAATAACGTTTCACATTTCTCAATCTCAATTACCATAGTTTAATCTCTGACTTCAAAGTTTTCTCTTCTAGGAGTTTATCAGTCTCCAATCAGGATTCACACTAACTTTGACAAGGCTACTCTGCATCTTTTGCAGTTATTATAAATCATCTTTGAGATCTGTCTCTCTATATTACCTTTACATATTTTGCAACTCACATTTGTTGGAGTCACAAAAGGATTCACTTTAAGACTTCAATCTTTTGACCTTGTTTTTTATCTCTTATTTCTCAGACCAAAAATTGTCACTGTCGTCATTTAAACACTGATCTATTTTCAAACCAATATTATTACCAGAAATGTGTTGTCATTTTATCACATTTTTAAACACCTTCTCGTTGGTAATTTACAGTTACCTATTAAATGGTCCTGATGACCACCATTAAAACACTCTCTGTCATCTAGTGAATTTGTTTCAGCCTCAACTTCATTATCAGACACCTGTCCTTGACTATAGTTTGATCACTGTGAGCTTGCAAACGGCTCCAACTAACTGCACACCCTTGAAGCAGTGTGTGTCCCATTCAGGAATGTAAACAGACCCACCGATAAGCAGTTCTCTGTATTCCTTTGACCATCCACCAATGGCGGATTCAATCACAATAGCCAAATCATACTCTTCATCATTATTATTGGCAGAACATAATTTCATGAGCAGCACAGAAAATGCTCAAAATATTCGAATTTGTTTTCTGTCTTTACCTTACTAATTTGGTATTATCATCAACAACACTAATTACAAGTACTGTTGCTGTTATCCCAGCTTATCTTTTACAAAACATCATCTGCAAATCTCTTCAAAGTGAGATCTTCAGAGCAGAGCTGTTTACAGCATTTGCTCTCTTCTGTCTCACTATTTATTTATTTATTTATTTATTTTCCCGGACTGTTCAGTTACTCTTCATAAAGTGTAACAATTTGTACATCATTATTTTCATTACAACTGGTTTGAAGCCTTTTTTCTTCCATCAAATGGTTAGTCTGCAGATTCAACTTAATATTATCATTATTGTCTCAGTCTTATCTCTACTGTTTCTCCAAAACAGATTATATTACTCAGTCCGTAAATTACACAGACAACCATTATAGCTACTTGCTTCAATACCCTTATTTTCTTAACATTAATAAAAAAATAGAAGATATATCATCTTTTCAATCATTATTTTATCAAAATCTAGAATTGTTTCCCATTCTGCTTAAAACATTCTTCATATCATGTTAATCCCTGTCAATCATACAATGCCTTATTTTATTCTAAAACTTTTCATATCATTTAAACAGTTAATTTGACTTCCATAAATTCTGTCAGACCATGTCTATTTTCATCACATATAGTTTTCTACTATATTTCTCCTTTCTTTTCCCTACATGCCAGTTCCTTCATTATCCTCTCCTTTCTTTTCTCAAACATGCCAGTTCCTTCATTATCTAACCAGTACATGATTGTTTGCACAATCCCCACACACACATGTCTCACACACCAACCTTTTTGTTTTTTCACTTCCCTCTTCCACCAAGTCTCCCTTACAGTTCCCTCTATTTCACACAGACAGCCTTATTGCTTCTTGCTACTTCAATCCTTGTCATATAAATTTAAGTTCTATAGACATCTAATGTCATGCATCCATTTACTGTATTTGGATGCATGTAAAAAAACAGTATTTCTCCTGGCAGTTCGACATTTTATCTTCAAGCCAACAATCCATTATCTGTTCACATTTTTTACACACATGTTGAACGCAGCCACAACAACCTTTTGTCCCGCTGCCCTGTTCCACTGATTCTCGCACACTCTTAGTCTATTTGTGCTCAGTGTTCCCTCCCTGGTGAAATCATGGTATTTTCTCAGTTTTTTCAATATCTAAAACATACATTTCCCCCCATACTTTCCTAGTTCTACAGAAAACCGGTGTATCAAATTTGGCATGCTTACTCTGAGATTTTCCCATACTGGCTGTTTTCTGTTCCCTGTGGATTTCTCTTCAACGCGCGTTTTCTCTAATCTGTTAGGCGTCCCCAACAGACCCGATTCTTTCTTTTAACCCAAATCGGTCGCATACCTGCCAACTTTTGAGTTTTGCTCGGCGTGAGATTTGTTGACGGGGGGGGCGGGGGAGATTTGTTCAGGGTACCTATCTGTTTGAAATCTCTTGATCTGTTACAGTTCTCACTTAATCCCAGATTATTTATCTGCTTGAAATTTCTTGTTCTGTTACAGACCTCAATTAATCTCAGATCATTTTCCCTCGTATCTGTTTGAAATTTCTTGATCTATATAGATCTCAATTAATCTCAGATTACGTACCACAGAAACAGCCTTCAGCCAATATGGTTCAATTTCACTCTTCTCCCCAATTAAACTGAATTTAATTAACTTACCCAAAAGAAAATAAATTGAACTGTCTCTTACCAGAGATGCTTCTGTTGCCACCGGGTTCTTTCAATTGATTCCAGTGGAGTTTCTCCTGGCCCTCATAGCGGTCGGCCCCTCTCTCTGAAATTTACGAGGTAGAGCTGGAACTGCTCAGTCCAGGTGGCCAAACACCGTCCGCTCTCAGGTCCAGAAGGCACTTCCAAGGAATCCCACTATTCTGACACCAATCTGTTGTGGCAAAAATTCATCTCAAACAAACATCACTGCGTAAGAGACACTCAGAGTCAAATTATATAAAATAGAAGTATTTATTCTTGCAAGAATAGGAGCAGTCTAATACACAGTTGTTACCCTGTGCAGAAGAGTGACACCCCCCCAGACAGACTGAACTAGCTTTTATCTTAGTTTCAAGGCCTTCTTCCCCCCAGAGCCTTCCTCCCAGTAGTTTTCCATAGACGTCACTAGTTGGCCCACTAAGCTCCCCTGCACCAAATGGCCTTCTGACATCTAGGTCAGAGGTCCTTGTTCGTCTGTTCTCTGGAGTGTCTCCCCCTTCTGCCTCCCCAGGTACATAAACAGAATCTTCTCTCACTACAAGTGAGAGACACACATGTGACATTCTTTGAATCATCTATATTTTACTAAAGATCAATGAATATCATTAAAATTGCCACCACATTATCTTTACAGCTTTGAAATACATGCTGTTAACGAAAACACTGTTGAATTATTTACAATTACTGTATGAATAAAACCAGTAGGCATAGGCTATTATATAACACAACATAATTACATAACCACAGTAATTAACTGTATACATGACGAATTAAGTTGTTTGCGCATGCTTTACAAAGCATAAATCTGTATTCAGATTTCAGAAGAATCGTTTTGACATTTGTTCATCAGTCAGCCGATCTGTTATTTGCTACTGTAATGAGGATGAACATAATATATAAGCATATATAACATATAATTTTAATAAGCAAGGGAAATTCCAGACTTTAAACAAATGTAAATGTTTAGTACGTTTGCGTTGTAAGGATGTTCCGGGAGACTTTAGATATAAAAACGCTGACTTGTATGTTTTCTCTTTAAAATCAGATGATTTACTATTAATTCAATAGAATTTGAGGGAACACTTAATCACAAGTCTGAGGCTAAATAATCAACTGGAATTATTCAGGATTAAATCAAAGGTGTTCATGTAAATGCAGCTATTGAAACACATCTCACACACATCTCACGCCATATATACTGTAGATACTTACACAGAAGCATCATGCCCATTCAAACCTGTCGCACCCCCTTTTCCATTAAAAGGGGTGATATTTACCCCTTGAATTGATTTCCAGGGGCATTTTTTTTCTAACCTTAATGTATGCATCACCATGTAGGCTATATCAAATTCTTAAATTTAATCAATAAATTCAATGAAGGCACTAGGGATTTTATCAGTAAAATAAAATCAGAAAAAAATAAATTATCCATAAATGTGTGTGTATTACCTCAAAACGCTGCCCTTGCCACTCTGAGCTTGATTGCAATGTCTGAGGTAAAACACACACTCCTCATTACCATAAAGACAAAGAAATGTATAAATTAATTAATTAAATAAATAAATACATCTAGAAAAACACATCTATAAATAAATGCAATTGGAAATAAATCAAAAAATAAATAATTGTGGAAAAATACAATTATACATAAATAAAGAAAAAAAGTATAAATAATAATATATTTTTTTTAATTCTTTGTATATTTATTTATGTGTTTATGTGTTATTTTGGCAGACCTTGCATTCCATATTTGAACGACTGGTTCTGAAATCTTTCATTTTTTTAGGTGCCGCTGGAATCCCTATTGCAGCTAAGGCTGTTATAGGCGCCATAGGAGGCACTGTGGCTGGAGCTGTGGGCGGAACATTGATATGCAATGCAGGGGCTGCAGGTGAATCCGTAATTCTCTTGAGTACTGAATAGTTGTTATTATTAGGGGCCAAGGACTGAAAGTGCGTAGGCACCTCTTGAAATCGTTGGCGTTCTTATTATTATTATTCTTCCGTGAGGAAGTCTATGGCAGCCCATAGAACCGCTTGCGGTAAAGTTATGAAATTTGGCACACTGATGGAGGACAGTCTGAACAGTCACCATAGCAAATTTGGAGTCTCTAACTCAATCCCTCTAGCACCACCAACTGTCCAAAGTTTCACTCATGTTTATGCAAATAACTTTTGAACCGTAAAATCTTGTTTTCTCTGATTCTTTGTCTCAAGCCGATTCGATTGCACCCTATGATGTCATTTTTTGTCATAAAACTCGTCCTAGACGGTTGCTCCAATTTTCACCAAAATTGAACTAGATCATCTCCAGACCATGCAGACAAAAAGTTATGGAATTTGATTCGTCAAACCGTTTTCGATAGATGCACAAACAAATTTTCAAAATTTCCAAAAATGCTTATAACTTTTGAATAAATCTGCCTATTGTAATGCCACTGGCATTGTCACAAGACTCTGACCACACCACATCAATTTTGTAACTACGCCACCTATTGGTCGAAAGTGATAATCCATTAAATCATATTTTTAGTTAATGCCAGCCATTCAGCCATTTTGCTTAAATTCATCTTTAAATCTCTTTAATTGCTCCTTGCTGCAGTTGGTCTGATACTCCCAGCCATGTTGGCATGTCTTGTCGTCTTCTTTGCGCTTGACCCCGATAATGGCTGCTTGCAGCTATATTTATTATTATTATTATTAATTTGGATTCTTTACAAGGAACTGTATAAGTGCTGTATAACACTCCCCAAAATTAGATTTAACATGTGTTTATCCAACTATATAAGTTCAATGTTTTTTTTATCGCAGCAGTATCTGTTTCATCTTCTATGTTTGATGTAGCATTGTGAATTGTTGCTCTGAAAACGCACAATGTGTGATTTCAAACTAATTATTGTTTTCTAAAATAAGTCCTGTTGTGGTTTGTCATTAGGTGCTGCAATCATCCCGGTCACAGGCCAAGGCATGGTGGGAGCCGCTGTGAGCGCTGCAGTTGCCGGCTTAATTTCCAACTGCACTGTGTAACGGGATCACTGTATCTGTGCTTTAATGCCCCAACAGGCCCTTCACAGTTTGATAGATTTCTATTCATGAAATCAAACATAGCGTTTAACTAATGCACGACCATAAACGAATGCACTTTTTAGGCTAGTAATAATAAAAATAATCTCTTTCTCTTCTGCTCTTCTGTAATCAATCTTATACTTCAAACTTGACATTGTACTATGATTTTTATTTGCTCTTATAAATTGCTTGGGATGTGATATTTGTATAAAAAGATCTGCTAAATGAGTAAATTATTAAAGACAAAAACGGTGTAAATTAAACTATTTAAAACTTAAATTATTTAAATATATTGTATTATAAAGCCACGATGACAGTCTGTGTCTTGTATTTTCTTAAAGCAAACTGTACAGCATAATGCTAGCAACACCAAGGTCTTTCTTCAAATCCCAGGGGAAGCTTGAACTCAAATTATGCCTATACCTTTAACGTATTTTAAAAAGTCATTTTAGATAAGAGTGTCTGCCCATTTTAGAATGCTGACAGATTGGTCTGGGATGCCAACAGCTTTTTTTTATTATTTCTCCTGTAGATACAAATAAGAAAGATGCCATTGTATCTGAAAAAGGGAAAACTGTCATAAGATGACATAATAAAACATAAGATTGATCTAGGGAGCAGCGCACAAGCACTGATACACACTTAGTTCTTAGGATTTGTCGATGATAAATGCAACCATTTTAGGTGGAAGGGTGGCACCCCCAACACCACCAGTGCGTGCCCCACGTGCCCATCCACTACGCCCCTGCTTGGAAAGCTCCAGTGCTGATGGGTGAGTTGAGCTTATTAGAAGATAAAATATGGGGAACGGTATATTTCAGGATTGAGATAATCGCATAAACAAAAATGTTTTTTCCCGTTCCTGCTGGTATTTCATAGAGGGTTCAATAGAAACATATAATAAGCACTAGGTGGCACTAATGAACGAGCCGTCATTGAACCAGAAGAAGAAGATTAGGCTGACACACGTATGGCGAAACACTAGGGGGCAGTAGGAAAATGTAATCGTTTCACCGACCAGTGTATAGGACATATAGAAGTAAAAGAAATTGACACAGCCACCCCCTTGATAGGCTATATGCACGCATAAGTTCCGCATTTGACGCAAGGATGCTCTTCAGTTTCCGGTTGGGGAGATTTAAAGCCGAGGAAAATGGGATTATGGCAGAGTCTTCAAAATGTAATGTCCTCTCGTCTTTGAAACGAAACTTTAATACGTTTAAATGTAATTTTATTTATAGTTATGTTTATTTAATATAATAAACAAAGAAGCATAAACAAAATGAGGGGTGTCTGTTTTGTCTGGTTTTGTGACTAACGTTTCTTTAGTATAGCAATAGGTATAGCATTGGACTCTACGATCGGCGGAAGTAATCCAGCATCCTTATACCTTCACCGGAAATACTGCCGTGCATAGAGCCCATTTCGGAGAAAAGTAAAGCCCATTAGAAGCACTCACTTCCTGAAGGCAGAGCGAACTGCGCAGGCTCAAACTGAGCTTGACGACGTGAGCAACCTGTACGCCTTCTAGTAGCTGTGCCTAGAGGAATCTGAATCATTCCCTTCCGAATCTTGCAGAGGCGGAGATCGTGAGTAGGAGCTGTCCATGAGCTAGCAGCAGGAGCAACGTTATGACTCTCTATGGGCTTCTCCCTTGACTTTATGCCTCCACGTCCCCCCAATTGCCTGCGAGCTTCTCCTCCTGTCTGTACTGTAATTTCTCTACTGTGCGACAGAGAGTCGCGTGTTATGACGCAATCGTTAGCCTATTTTTACAAAAACTGCTTCTACGGGGCCATAACGTAAGATACAAAGTAATGGAGCCTTTTATACATTGTCGTGTTTCTTTAGAAATATATAATGGACAAATGGAGTCTTTGGACGCCTCGGATGTAAAGTTATTCGCTGTCAAAGTGACGCCAAAATGAATGGGAGTCAATGGAATGCTAACAGCTGGTGATGGTCTGCTACAATGGCGGCCCCCGGGAGGCTTCAGTTTCCGGCTGATGGATTACCCCCTTGGTATGGGAGCAAAGCGAGAAACTCAAGAAATGAGAAACACAAGAAGCATGAAAAAAAAAATTTATCGGATTTTTAAACGTGAACAATTGAGTCTGTGTGGTCTTGATTAAGGTCTAGGATGGAGAATTTCAGAGGGCCGGTAAAAGCAGACTGCGAAGAACTACTGGCTCCTTTTCAGGCGACCGAGTCCGTTCGGTACGAGCAGTTTCTGGAGGTCTAGAGAGACGTGAACTTCAGCAGCATCTTCTAGTGAGATTGACGAGCATCTTCAACATATGAAATCACTCACTTTAGATGCCAGTGACAATTTTATATGAATTGTTTTAAAATTACCTTTAAATGAGATTAAAACCATCTTCTAAGAGAAAGGTACTAGGAGAAGCAGTCAGACTTCTGCAGCAAAACACATACTTGAGCTGCATAGACGCCAGCCACTGCTCTTTGATGTTGTTGAATGGTTATTTTTTGTACTATTCTGTGTATTTTTATATTTATACATATAAAATGTGTGTGTGTGTATATATATATATATATATATATATACAGTATATATACACTTTACATATAATATTTATATATAATATATTATCATTTATTTATATTGTACATTATTGGATATTATATTTGTATTGTATATTCAAAATTGTTTTATTTATTCCAAATTTATTCCAAATCACTGCGTTCACAGTTTTATAATAATCTGCATGTACCTCGAGTTAGAACTAATTTAGGTAAAACTGCTTTTAATTATGCTGCACCTTCAGAATGGAACTCTCTACAAATGACATTGAGGCTGAATCATCTGGTGTCTTTCAGCAATTTTAGAACACTTATATATGCGCTAGAGAAAGATTTAATGATTTGCAAATGCTTCTGAGGTTGTATTTTTAATACTAATTCATTGTGTGTTGTATTGTTTTATTGTTATATGCGTGTTTGAATATCTGGGCCGCCTATCTTGGCCAGGACACTCCTGTAAAAGAGATTTTAATCTCAGTGAGGTTCTCTCCTGGTTAAATAAAGGTAATACAAATTTTAAAAAAAATAATATATTATATTTGATTGTATATAATAATAAGTATAATCATTATTATATATTTTTATTATGAACATTACTGACATATTTTTTTCTATTTATTGCTTTGGTGATATTTTTGTAAACCAATTGGCACAGTAAAAGGAATTTGAAGGTTTATTATTTATTTTGTCTCTTCTTTTTTCTGCAGTGGCAAATGAGAGAAGGTGTTTTACTCGTCTGATCATGTCTGTGGCGTCTCCATGGTGCTGTAATGAGCCGTTTGAAACAGGAGTGCAAGTTGCAACCACATGGTGGTATAAAGCCATTCCAGCAGCGATAACAGGCAGCCCTTGAATTGAAAGTGGCGTGTATGTTTACGCAAAGTCATGATGTCATGTTGCATGTTGAACGCAATAGCCGGAAGACGCAGTACACTGCTTCAGGAATGTTTGGCGGATATTTCCGGCTTTCTTTTGTGATGCTATAAAGGCCTATAGGCGAGTTGCACATGGCCGCCGGGAAGTGGACGAGGGAAGTTTATATGGACAGACCCTCGCTCCCTCGATTTTGACAGAGGGAGCGAGTCTACTTATGTACACTTCAGGCAGCTCCATATACCACAATGCAACACGATTGTGACGTCACCGCAGATCTCGTCTAATCACCATAGATATACATAATAAAGGCCTTTATTATCTATGCTAATCACCACCACCACAAACAACTCTATGATATATTAATTATGATTTTTTTTTTAAACAACCCAAACACATCTATATACATTTG